AACTCTTTACTGTCCTAAGTGCACTGCAATCGCTGTGCTCCTACCTACCTCCTACCTCTTACCCTCTTATGCCACACACCTGTTCAAGTAAGCCGGGTGGGGAGAAAGCAGGATGCGATTTTAAATAGAGTGGCCAGGAACGATTTCCGGGTGAGCCAGGGGGATCCCCAGAGGAGGAGGGTTCCAGACTGAAGAGAACCAGTGCAAAGGCCTTGAGGCAGGAGCCAGCCTGGCATGTTTTGTTATTTTTTTAATAAACTTATTTATATTTTTGGCTGTGTTGGGTCTTTGTTGCTGCGCACGGGCTTTCTCTAGTTGCGGCGAGCGGGGGCTACTCTTCCTTGCGGTGTGCAGGCTTCTCATTGTGGTGGCTTCTCTTGTCGCGGAGCACGGGCTCTAGGCGCGCAGGCTCTAGAGCACAGGCTCAGTAGCTGTGGCACACGGGCTTAGTTGCTCCGTGGCACGTGGGATCTTCCCAGACCAGGGCTCGAACCCATGTCCCCGGCATTGGCAGGCGGATTCTTAACCACTGAGCCACCAGGGAAGCCCCCGGCCAGGCATTTTTAAACGGCTAAGGAAGCCAGTGAGGCTGAACCACGATGAGCAAGCGAAAGGGTGGGAGTGGAGAAGATTGGAGAGGAAACGGGCTGGATCACATCTGGCTTTTTTTTTTTTTTTTTTTGGCTGCACTGGGTCCTCGTTGTTGGGTCTTCATTGCTGCGCGCAGGCTTTCTCTAGTTGTGGCGAGCGGAGGCTACTCTTGGTTGCAGTGCACGGGCTTTTCATTGTGGTGGCTTCTCTTGCAGAGCTTGGGCTCTAGGCGCGCAGACTTCAGTAGCTGTGGCGCGCGGGCTCAGTAGTTGTGGCACATGGGCTTAGCTGCTCCGTGGCATGTGGGATGTTCCCGGACCACGGATCGAACCCGTGTCCCCTGCGGTGGCAGGTGGATTCTCAACCACTGCACCACCAGGGAAGTCCCTCACATCTGGCTTTTCAGCCACTGTAAGTTCTTTGGCTTTGTCCCTAAGAGTCCCTTCTGGAGATTCTTTTTAACAGAGGAGTGACGCAATCTGACTTATGTTTTAAAGCAACCTGGCAGCTTCACCAGTTCACCTGTCAGGCCAAGGCAGTAGGCTGATTCTGGGCTTTGCTGGGTGAGGGAGGGAGAATCAGATTGACGTCGGGCCCTAGAGCCTGGGGTACTGTAGCTCGGGAGCTGCCGGCAGAGAGGATCCTGGGGATCTGCAGAGGGTCCCCCTGGAGTATCACGGGGTGCTGATCGGCACAAGTGTGTGAGGAAACCGCCCCGGGCCTTGGAAAGGGCTGCCAGGAAGGATTACAGGGAACTATGCCCAGGGCTCAAGCAGGCCCTGGATGAGCACCTGTCCCCACTGGCCAGAATGGAAACCTCGGAATTCAAGAGGCCTGAGGGCGGGCACTCAGAAGGGTCTTGCCTCAGTAGCGGGAAAATAATTAATTCTACAGTAGAAGCTGCTCTAGCGCCATGTAGCAAATCTTAGAAGCAAGAGTCTAAAGAATCAAATTGTCTCCAAGTAACCGCAGCACCTGAGTACAAAGTTCGAGTATGTTTACGGACACAAAAGTAGCCAGCACCCAAGGGAAAACATACAAGGTCTGCTATCCAAGCAAAAACCCTTGGCATGAAAATAGTAAGTAAAGACCAGCCCATTAGAAGGAGATAGATAGAGCAATCAATAAAAGGCAACCAGATTGGAAAGGAAGGAGTAAAACTTCCATGATCGCAGGATATTTTAGAGGGAGCTAACTCCCCCTGCCCAGACCCTGAGCCAGGTGTGCCAGCAGTTTTCTTCACTGATCTGAAACAAAGCCAGTAAACTACAAAATTCCTAGCCTAGTGCTTCTGGGTTGTTTGCTCTTCTCACACACGCTCAGTTTTTTATTTTTGCGGGACACTAACCTAATGGTGACATAGATGTGGGGAAACCAGAATTGTGGTGGGAGGGCACAGTTTCTGGAGTGAGTAGAATAGAACCATTTGGGGAGGAGGCAGAGGGAGAGTGGCGTGAAAGTGCTCAATTCTCATCTCCCCATCGATAATGAAAGTCTTAAAAATGGTTTTCAAAAAGGGAAGAAAGAAAAAGACCCTTGCTGTAGCCACCAGAGCTGCTGCGTGCTGGCGGGGGAGATGCTCCATCATCACCGTCATCGCCATGCCCACCGCCACCATCCCCAGCACCAGCATCTCCCTCCCTCCAGCCCACGCTGCCAGAGCTCTCTGGGTTCTGTGCCGGCAGACTCCGTGCACGCACATGCAGGAATAGGGACCGGATCTCCACCGCACTGGCTTGAAAGAATCCCCTAAATGCAGCCAAAATATATGAAACACAGGCTGTGAAGAAACTGGGCCTCAGGTGAGGGAGGACCGTCAGGGATCTCTGGGAGCTGAGACCCCGAAGAGGTGAGCCGTGCAGCTGCCCCAGCCTGCTGTCTACACGGACTGTCCGGACCGAGTCCATCCGCCTCCCCGGGTCTCGGGGGTGGATCGCAGAGCGCACGCAGCCGGAGTTGGTGGGTGGAGGACTGGAGGGGACACAGCGGCAAAGGGAGAGAAGAGTGCCCAAGGGCGGAGGGTCCATTGGAGCGCGCCGAGGACCACTGAGCAGCATCAGTGTGGAAGGGAACTCTGCGAGGCGGGGGACAGGGCCACCCAAAGGGTGGAAGGTAAGTCTGCCCAGCGCTCGAGCAGGACAGGGACTGGGGGCTGCCCGCACCGGCCAGAATACAAACCTCATAATTGGGGAGGCACCCTGAAGGGGGCTCAGAAGGCTCGCGCCTCAGTAGTGTGGGAAAAAAAATGAATCCTATGGGACTTGCCTGGCGGTCCAGTGGTTAGGACTCCGCACTTCCAATGCAGGAGGTGCGGGTTCGATCCCTGGTCGGGGAACTGAGATTCCGCATGCCACGGAGTGCGGCCAAAAACTAAAAAAAAAAAAAAAAAAAAAAAAAAAAAAA